TCTGGAATAGTCACGTTTGTGTCTAGATCAGGAATCGCTTCTCCACCAGTGTCTTTGCGGCCAGATTTCTTCTCCCCAGTGCATTTCGCACCATCTCCACCACCTGCAAACAGGACACAGACCTGGAGCCTTGCCCTGGAACCTGCCCAAATCGGCCATGCATAAAATCATAGAAAATGAGGGTTGAAGGGAGCTCAGGAGGTCGCATCTAGGCCAACCCCCTGCTCCAAGCAGCACCAGCCCCAACTACATCATCCCAGCCAAGGCTTTGTTTAGCTGAGTCTTCAAAATCTCCAAGGACGGAGAGTCCACCACCTCTCTGGGTAGCCTGCTCCAGTGCTTTACTACCATCCTAGTGAGAAAGTTTTTCCTAATATCCAACCTCAACTTCCCTTGCTGCTGCAGCTTGACCCCATTGCTCCTTGTTCTGCCATCCGCCTCCACTGAGAGCAGTCCAGCTCCATCCTCTTTGCAACTCCCCTGCAGGTAGTTGAAGGCTACTACTAAATCCTCAGTCTTCCCTTTTCCAGACTAAACAAGCCCATTTCCCTCAGCCTCTCCTCATTAGTCACGTGCCAAAGCCCCCTGTGCTCAGGCCTGGACCGGGAGACCATGCAGGCAAATGCTTAAATGCAGGGGTACGTTTGCAGCAAAGGGAGGATGCACCAGCCTTACCTTCTGCACAAGGAAGGTGCTGATCGCCGCCAGCACAAAGTCCTGTGCCCCCAGATCGACGACCGAGAAGAGCAGGGTGTCAAAGAGCAGCAAGGCCAGCTCGTTATTGTAGAAGAGAGTCCTGCCGAACAAGGCACGGTCATCTGGAAGCAGGAAAAGCCTCTTATAGCCCTGTGGCCACTGCATCATGCCTGCAGACCGGGTGCCGGAGGGGGCAAGGGGCAGATGTTAAACCCTGAGGAAGGGGCGGCTGCCATGGGGCTGTGATGGTCAATGCTGCAGAGGTGCATGGCGCTGTACAGATAGGTTGATAACCTGACCCTAGGCTCTGCAGGGCTGAATCCAGACCAGAACCCCTGCTGTTGTGGGAGAATGAAAGCCTACAAGCAAGCAGGCTGTACCCACCCTTAATTCAGAAAATAGAGACCTTCCACACCCATGTTCCCTTTGCATGAACATGATGGCATCCAGTGCACTGACTCGGCAGCCCGGTGGGAGAAGGACTTCTCCAGCTGATGCAAAGCAGCTAACACCCAGGTCTCACGGACAGCTGCTGGGACCTCTGCTCCAAGGAGGATTCCCCTTTGCAAAGACAGGCTCCCCGGAAGAGAGCAGCAAGTTACCATTGTAGAGGACGGACATGTCTCCTAGCTCCTGAAACTCCATGTCCAGGACCCGCTCCAGGAAGAACTTGTCCTTCACCACATAGTCCATGTCTCTGTAAGCCTGTGGGGAGAAATGCCGGGACGTGAACAGAGCCCTCATTGACGGTCCTGCGAAACGCTGGCGTGGCCGTGGCCGATGCTTTTGGGAAGGAAAACAACCAGCTCACGTGTTCGAGGAAGGAGCTGAGGAATCGGTTCAGGGTGTAATAGCTCTTGAGTCTTTGCTCGTGCACATCGGATCTGCACCTCTTGCCTCCGGTGACCTGCAAGCAGACGTTGTAGAAGCCCCCTCACCTCGGGGCTGAGCCTGGGGCGGTCAGCACCCCGGTTTGGAGGCAAAAGCATTTCCCATTCAAATCCACTTTGCTAGCAGCTGTGTGGCTTTTAGTCCTCAAAAAGAGGGGGGTCAAGGAGCCTGTAGTTCAGCTTATGGAGTGCAGCTAGCACGGGGGTGAAAGTTCATCTGCTGTGGGTCACAGAGGGTCAAGGAAACAGTGCTTGTTCATACAGAAGTAAGGCTGGAAGGGACCTCAAGAGATCCTCTAGTCCAACCAAGAATCAAACCTTGTTTGACCCCGGTGTTACTATCTGAATTCAAATGACAGTGAAACAGCTCCGCTAGCCAAACAGCGATGCATCAACTTGTGGGAGTTGCTGATCGTGGGCAGTCGCTGACCTAGTGGACCATCATTAGTATGGTTGAGATTCAAGGTGTGAGCACGTGATGCAATTACCACGGGGTAACTTACTTCACATTTTGCTCCGCAGTAAATTTATTCCACAATAAGGAGAGGACACATGACTGGCTGTTATACCACTGGGTCACTGGCAGGGAAGCCAGTTTGCATTGAGCAAAGAGCTCTCCTGGGATGCAACTGGGTAGGAGATGGGACATACAGCTAATAAACCAGGGGAACTTGCACCTGGGTATAGGGACACTTTCGGAGGGCTAACTTTGCCCTGGGGTAACTTGCACCTGGGTATAGGGACACTTTCGAAGGGCTAACTTGCACCTGGGTATAGGGAGACTTTTGGAGGGCCAACTTTGCCCTGGGGTAACTTGCACCTGGGTATAGGGACACTTTCGAAGGGCTAACTTGCACCTGGGTATAGGGAGACTTTTGGAGGGCCAACTTTGCCCTGGGGTAACTTGCACCTGGGTATAGGGACACTTTCGAAGGGCTAACTTGCACCTGGGTATAGGGAGACTTTTGGAGGGCCAACTTTGCCCTGGGGTAACTTGCACCTGGGTATAGGGACACTTTCGAAGGGCTAACTTGCACCTGGGTATAGGGAGACTTTTGGAGGGCCAACTTTGCCCTGGGGTAACTTGCACCTGGGCATAGGGACACTTTCGAAGGGCTAACTTGCACCTGGGTGTAGGGACACTTTCGGAGGGCCAACTTTGCCCTGGGGTAACTTGCACCTGGGTATAGGGACACTTTTGGAGGGCCAACTTTGCCCTGGGGTAACTTGCACCTGGGTATAGGGACACTTTCGAAGGGCTAACTTGCACCTGGGTGTAGGGACACTTTCGGAGGGCCAACTTTGCCCTGGGGTAGAACGACTTGACCCAATGTACAGCTGTGCATGGTGTGTCTGCTTCACTTTGCTAACAGGGTGAAGGCAATGCCAGGTGTCCCCACCCTTAGACGCAGCCCTAGCTTTACCTTGAAAGCTGGGAACTTTTCTCTGTTGGGCCACTCGGGGAGCCGGCTACGTTGAGTTTATACTTTATGGTGATGGAGATAAAAAGCAGCAAGAAAAGCGATTCTCTTTTGCAACCAGGGACACAGTTGAGATACCAAGCTATTATTGAAACCAGGGAAGAGCTGAGTTTATCATGTGTCTGAGGACTGGTTCTGTAGGAAAATGTTCTGATGATTATCAATGCCAGCCTGAGCAGCTAGTCTGGAAATAATACAGGTTTCTTTTGCACCTGCCAGAGGCCCCTTGAGAGCTGGAAGATTTAAACACCAACCCCTGCAAAGAGAAGCAGGGAAAAGCCAGCAGGACTGA